ATATATTTTCGTTACCATAAATAAATCATCAGTCAATCAGAAACCCGGATTCATGCCTTCGAGGAAGGTCCCGTTTGAACGCTCACATCGTGTTTTTTTTCGTTTGTGGGAAAAATAAAACTGGTCGCAATTTTCGAATAAGAATGAGTCGGCAATTTTTAGTGTAATCGAAAATTTGGAGGTAAATAAAACACCGAAACCCGGCAAATAAATAGGCGAACAAATTTTTAGAGGGGTCGAAATTTTGGAGTTTTCACGGTACTAATTATTCCATTTCAATGAAACTTAGTATAAAGATGCTCTAGGACAATGTACAAACCTAATTAGTTTGGGGTAAAAATCTGTTCATATTAATTCCCTAATAAGCATAATAATTCATAATTTTTTGGTTCTAATCACATTTCAATTAAACTTGGAGTCATAGATTTTCTGTTACATTGCGCAGACCTCATTAGTTTTACACTCAAATCTGGTCATATTAATTTTCTGATTTGCATAATTAGTTTTCAGCTAAGTAATTTCGAATTATATTTAATGTGTCTCCAATACTCTCAGCACATGGGAGTTCTTTCTAAGCTTTCTTTGATTAATCTATTTAATGAGTAGTGAAAATGATTCAGACATGATATGATATGATCTAACATTAGTAGGTTTATCTAGTAGTATTTCATTTACATGCTGAAAAAAATAATGCTGTGACATTCAAGTCTCACTAAAAAACTAGGTTTTTTCTTTAAAAAAATATATAACAAAAGTTAATTGTTAAATGAATTTAGATGCAATCGGGAATTCAAAATTACCTAACTACTGACACAGGGTAAAGTAGTTATTCAATTAAAGACGTGAACGGTTGCATCAAGTCATGGCATCCATATATGGTGGCAATGAACTTTCAACTTTGGTGCTAAAATTATTCAAGCTCAGAGGGATGCTCCTAATTCTGTCTGGTTTGACTGACAAAATGATATGATCTATATGCTTTATTTTAAAGTACTTTTTTTCTCGTCACATGCCTTATAGTAGCATTTATGGTAAAAGGAATCACATTTTGTGAAAATCGTTGCTGGTACAATATTATGATCTCCAATTGGGATCACTAGAGATGTAAAAAAAAAATGGACAACGTAATTTCCGACTTAATTAAAAAACATGAAGCATTTGAACACTTTTAATTATTACATTTAATAATTAGTTTTCTAAAATGAACTGGGCATGCAAATTAATAGAATGTGAATTAAGTTTTCATGGTATGCATAATGCAACTTTTATTCCACATCATACTGGTTTAAATTATAGTTGACAAACCAAAACATATTCAACATTCTATTTTCTTCTCTCCATTCAGTTATTTGTAGGTGAGGATATTGACAGTCTTAAAATCACATTAAAAGAACTAGCCACTGACAGTAACAAATACAGAGCCAAGAAGGACAGACGGCAACAAAGGTCCAGCTTCAGAGACATTCTCAGGACGGTTGAGGTAACGTTACATATGATTTTTGTGTTTAAAGGGTGATGATCATGTTAATGTGTGTCTTGTTTATTTGATTCCATGCAACATAAACATTGACATAACAATATTTACACAAATCTGATTCACAATATCATCTCATTTTGTTTTATTTTTTTGCAGGATAATGACTACCCATATGAGCTGATTAAATTTGGCATGGAAGCTGTTGAGCTTGACAGTTGGGTTAAAAAGCGTCAATATGGCGCCCTCAGGGACGTATTGGGTGCAGGAATGAATTTACACCTCAGAGATAATGACCTATTACGTGAAATATTCGGACTTGGTGCTTCTCTTTCGTTAGCCGAATGTAAAGCGATGAAACTTAGTAAATTTGAAAGAGTAAGTACCAATACAAGTTTACCCTATAGTAATTGTTTTTTGTAAAATATAATATTCTTTATTCAGTTTTTATGTTTTTCTCACCAAAATACTGCCCGGAAAAAAAATCATGGCATTTGAAATGGCGAGTTTTTAGACAATTAACAATGGTGTACAGTTGTGTGAAGGATGAGATACGCAAGAATCTGTTTTGAGAGACTATTTCTTTATTTTTTGCAGCATGCCTACAACTCTGCAGCTTTTAAAGCGAGAACGTTGTCAAGAGGAAAACAGAGAGATACAAAGCAAGTGGCTGCTTATTAATGGTCTGCAACTTCACTGGATGCCTCATAATATCCCTTCCTTCATAAAGTCATCACTGGGCTTGATATTTCCAACAAATGTTTGTATTCAAGCTATGTGGGTGATGTTGTACTTGATTTTGGAGAAACATCAACTGGTACCACCTGTAGATGTAAAATATTGTTATCAAAGTTGTCACTTTAATACAGTGACCTCTACCTTGTAATCCCTGATAACGTTTGAAGAATTTCAAATTAGTAAAAACATGAAAATTGAATTGCCCTTTGCATTTATGGTTGATCTGGGTTGGAAATAAGTTTGTTTACTGGTAATGGGAGGGTAGGGTGTATAGTAGTTTGATGATGCACATGGGTGCTTTCTGTATAATGTGTTTGAAACTATACAAAAAATGTTATTTATTTTTGATAACCTATGCACTACAACTGTATTTCAAGTAATATTTAAATTGGATGCCATGGTATGTAATGACTAGCAAGTCATCCTTTTGTTAAAGTTTGGCCGCTTCTGCAGAACACACTCGCAATGTTGTCGTTGTTTGAGAAAGATTAATATACAGCACAGTTTGTGAGACATCTGCTGAAAAATATCAGAAACTTGAATTACCTCACTTTGAATTATGTAAAAAAGAGAAAAAAATCTATATAATTGAGGATGTGTTTATTACAAAAAGGATGTTATATTTCTCTCGTAAGCATTATATATGAAAGCATTGGCACTTGCTTACTGTGTTTTAAGATTCTAAGGATGGTGGTTGTTCTGGCGTATCATGTTATACAAGACCCATCTACTCAGTATGCTTGAAATTCAACAAGTGCTACAAGACGTCCACTACTTTTTAAAGACAGTGATGCACAGTTCAACTCAACTATCATCATCGGGTAGTGTTTTCAGTAAAAAAAAAGCATTTATTGAATTTTAACTCCAAATTGGTATACAAATTTAATATATTACAGAAATATACAGAAAAAGTGATAACATTTCATTTTGTTGGCGTCAATGACATAGGCAGTGTGTTGGTTTTATCAAGTTGTTGTTTTCTTAGTACACTCAATTACAAGTATTATTTATTTTGTGGCTCGTATCATCATGGTCATGCCATATGGGTATCGTCCACACTATTTAACCAAGAGTACTTCTAAAAGAAAAGGCTATATATCGCAGTAAAACAACAGCAGAGTAATTTCAGCGGGACTATATACTTGTACTAAATTATCATTCCATAATTTTCAATCCAATAAAAGCAGAAAAGTAGAGTTCTTAGAGTTTTTTTTTTTTTTTTTATATAACATCACCACGTTGGGGAAAATACAAGTCTTTCTCTCCAAACCTGTTTTTTTGCCCTAAAGCTCTGACATCAGTCTTTAAAATTGTAAATATAATAAATTTATTCCATATTTCAGAATTTTAAAACAAAACTGATTCAGACATTTACTGTGAACTTTAAGACAATGGTGATGTTTATTTCTATTTAAGGCTAAACTTTTTTAAATGGATTCTTCTTCCTTTTACTTTCTATTTTTCAGTTTCTCTAAAGTTAAGCTACACTTTGAGGGTTTCAGGATGCAATGTATGCATTTTTTTACAATAATTTTTGTAAACTGATATCTGGTTGGCTCTTAATTATTTAACCAGTAGTGATTGAGTGTATGGCTGCGAGAATTGTATAATTTGTTGGAACCCTTCAATAAAGTGAGATCAGAGCATGAGATTTGGTGACTGAGAGACCTTTAAATGATGAATAATTAAATAAAGCAATTATTCAGAATAAGTATATGCATTAGGAGACTGTTTGTTTTGTATATCATTATTGTGTTGCTGCTTGACAAGTTCACCAGCTATCCTGACCTGGCTTGATCAGACCGTACCGTACCATACCGCCTTGCCTTTGCCCTGCCCAATCTCTCTATCTCTGCCATTGTCCAATCTAGCTGAGATGCCCTGCCCTGACACTACCAAGATATGCTGTGTAAGAAATCTATGACTCCATATTTGACCAGGTTATGATTAGGGTGGTAATGTGTTGAAATAATTGATATCGGTAGTTGCCCATAAATTTTGCTAATTATTTCCTCATAAGTAATCGGTACATATCAGGTTTGATGGGAGGACACTTATTGAGCTCTGATAAATGTTTTTTGTTTTGTTTTTCACGGATAACATTTGTTTTAGAATTCGTTGTTGCTAAGCTACACAACAGAACACTTTAAGTTGGTTAAATTTTGAGTTCACAAGGAATGATTGAATTATTTTCCTGCACAAAACTGACTAGCAAACACTTCATGGTAGCTAGGAATCTAAAGTTCTTATTCAGGGACTTCCCTGTCTCTAAAAGACCCTTGATGCAAATCAAAAGAATTTTTGTTTTAGCTCCGCTGTCGACTTTGCCGAGCAGAGCTTATCATATGAGTGATTGTCCGTTGGCGTTGTCCGTCGTCCATGTCAATGTTTTACTTTTTCGACTTCTTCTTGAAAACTACAAGCCTGAATGCTTTGATATTACATGTATAGGTACTACATGTGGACCTCTCTCAGATTTGTTCATTTTGTGATGATGTCTTCAATTCTCTAATTTTGGTGAATATTTTTGTCATTTTTGGTAAATAGATATATTTTTGACTTGTTAAAAACCAAAACTCCAATTGCTTTGATATTACATATATAGGTACTACATGTGGACCTCTCAGATTTGTTCATTTCGTGATGATATCTTCAATTATCTAATTTTGATGAATATGTATGTCATTTTTGGTAAAAAGTGATATTTTTGAATTCTTGTTGAAAACAGCAAGTCCAATTGCTATACATACTACACATATTGTTCATTTTCTAATGATATCTTCAGTTCTTTAATTGAAATGTGCCTTGCTAACAGCGAAGCTATCTCAGCCGAGAGGCTGCTTGTTGTCCTTCAAATAGTGTTACATTATCTCTTGTCTTGTCATCTATTGCTTAACTAATCTATGTAATCATGGAATTTGGACCAATGGACCCCATTGATAGTTTTTACATTTTTATCTCCGCTGTTGACTTTGTCGAGCAGAGTTTATCGTATGAGTGATTGTCCGTCGTTAGTGTCAATGTTTTACTTCTCGAATTCTTCTTGAAAACTACAC